TGTGTGTGTGTGCGCGCGTGTGTCTGTCTCTCTGCATGTCAGAATGTCTGTCTGTCTGTGTGTCTATGTGTACGTATGTGTGCGTGTGTGTGTGTGTGTGTGTGTGTGTGTGTGTGTGTGTGTTTGTGTATGTGTGTGTGTATGAATGTATGTGCGTGTACGTATAAATATAACGGCTGTGCACTTGTGTACAAGTCTGTGCTTATCTGCAACTAAACAAAAGACAAGGACGCGACAACCAGCTACAAAGCCTGGAGAAACCTTCGGATGCCTCGGGCCTGTAGATACTTCATCATCTGCGACGAATGGCAACTGCCAAACCAAAGACGTGAACGTCCACGAAACATGGCAGAGGACAACGCCGGTGGCCCCAGTGTACGCCATACGTACAGGCTAGTATCCTCTAAATGGCCTTCTAAGCTTTCTGTCTAACTGGTTAAAGTTTTCATAGTACGAGAAGAGTTCGGGACAGTAGGTATTTCGACACCTCATGATGATAAGACAATTGCTTACTTCTAGTACGAGTTTAACAGCACCTGCAATACAATTAAGTCATATAAGTGCTTACGGTTTGATGTGTAATTAGATAATAATATGCAATGAAAAGAGGGAGGAGAGTGGAGAGATGAGGATGATAGATAGCCTAAGAATGAATGAGCAAACCCATACCAGAGCGTCTGCTGGACAATTGCATCAGTTTATAAGCAATTCGAGTAGATAGAGGGCAGATAAATTAATAATGTCTCTCGGTTCTACAGCGCTAACAACACCTGTTCTAGACGTACATACCAGGAGATAGGCGACGGTCAAGCGAACGTAAAACGAAGAGAATTGTAAAAAAAAAGACACGTTGGGCCACACCGAGAATCAGTTGTACATCTTTCTAAAAGAAGCGAAAATCGAACTGTGTTTACAAGGGAAACAGCTTCAAAGCATGCGTACGCATTTACTTTCGTACGAGTAAAAGAGAAACACGTTAACAACAGCAACAGCAACAAAATCTCCTAGGGGAGAATAGGAAGACGGCAAAGTGAAATAATGGTCTGAGACCAGAAAAGACAAGAAACATCAACTTCGCTTTCAGAACACGCAAGAAGAGATGTATTGACGATAATGCTAGTATACTTGCTGTTGTACTAGTGTGCGAGTTGCTACTCATGGTGATGATAAGTTGTATGCTATTATAGTTCACGTCTGGCTACCATTACTCCGAATGTATTTCGCCGAGAATATAATACATGTAATAACATGAGAAAAGGATATTAATACCGAAAAGAACTTTTTTTTAAAAGCAGACATGGCCGGAAAGCACAACAGATACCCTCATCTGACGATTATAACACTCGTACATTGAAAACCAAGAACTTTTTAAATTTTGTTTTGCAGATTGTTGTTCTTGCTCGTGTCGTTGCTGATGTTGATGACGATGGTGTTGCTGTCGTTCTTGTGATTGTTGTTATTGCTATTTTTTCTTATGCAGTTGTTGAGTTGAAATCTACTGCCATGCCACTTCATGGTTACATTTCTCTTGGAACAGATTGGGGATAATACTTACATAGAAAAGGCAGAAAAGCTGCACCACATTAAAACGCCTACAAACCAATTGCAGCCGCTTGCTTATTTTTTTTCTTTTTAAAAGGGGGAGGGGGGGGGGTGTTTCTTTGTTAAAGAGAAGCAAAAACACACGACTACGCGACAACTGTCACTTACAGCTATTTTTCGGGGTTCGGAGAGGAGAGAGCAAGAGGTACAGGGACCACAGACGGACAGGTAAGAAAAAGGACTGGCCAGAAGCAGTCTTCAGTCACCTGCTTCCCCAAGCAGATGACAAAGTCACTAGATGGTAGCTCAAAACAAAGATATATACTCACTGGGGACGTGTAGTAACGAGTGGCTCCTCACTGGCTTCACTTTGGGCGTGGACCAGCCCGGGGGTGTGGTTGCGGCGGACTCCGACAGACGCTCGCCGTGTCCTCTCCCAAAACGACGACCGAGAACCTCGTCCTTCACGGGATCAGAGACCTCGTTGTTGTTGCTACTGGTCCACCTGTCGTAGAGCGTGGCTGAGGCATCCGCCGTGTCCTGACTGGGGCTCACGATGACGCAATACTCCAAGGCTGGTCCTCGATGGCGCCGCTCCCCGGAGGCAGTGCACGAGAGGTGTGAGCCCATGACATGTACTTGTTGGAGATTCTTTCAAAGATCCTCCTTCAGAGATTTGTGCGAGGCGCAGGAAGGAGCTGTGAGTAGCCCCAACCAGCGAAAGGGTGGTACACCTAGATGATCAAACACACAATAATTGGCGAACTGAAACGGAGTCGGTATTCCGGAAGTAAAGAGAAAGAGACAGAGAGCATTAGCCTGTCTCTTTTGTGATAACCTCGATTCTCCTAGACAGACGAGGTCTGAGATTTCTTCAACAACAGGCAAAGCGAAAGTAACATCTGATGCGCTATGCCAACTAGCAACAAAGCAGGACCCCGGTCAGCCCTGCGGTCTGCTACGAATGGCGCGGCCTTCTAATAACGAGACAGTTGATCAATCCACAGGTTTCAGCGATTCCACTACTCAACCAACCCTCACGGCGAGGCGAAAGACCATTGATTTTTTTCCACTGCACAAATATTCCTAGGATGGCACATGGGGCGGGTGCTGGGGTACGAGCCAAGGCAAGGCGATACCCAGGGAGGATTAGCCTCCTCCTGCGATTCCTTTCTTCCAGGAGGGAAGACTTGAAGATTGCCGAGATTTCTTCTGCCCACGGAGCGTCATTTTTGTGAAAATGGTCCGTGCCAAGGGCACTTTTTCTTTACATGTATAGTTCGTCTTGTGGAAAAACTTGAACAAAGAACATCTTGTTTTGAGTCAGGCCAACTTATTATTAGAACACAAGGAATTAGTCACAGAATGAGAGGGGAAAAACATTCATAAAATCTTTCTTATCTGCCACAGCTGGTTGAATTAGAAACAATTACTTGAAAGAACCGATTTTAAAGAGCACAATCATTTTGCTCTTTGGGATGGTTTTACAGATAATGTTCTTTTTCCTTTAGAACATATTATCACTATTCTACTTCTATGCTCAGGGACTTCACGTTTCGACACCCGCGGCACGATCTGAAAGCTCCAGCAACTGGAAACGTGATTGATGGGCCTGTGAAATAAAAAGAATGAGAAATTAATCTAATCAGCGGAGCATGAAACATTCATCCAGCAACTGAGTGAGGTCTTCAATCTTCCCAACAGCGAACGTCCATCTAAACCTCGCATCTATATAGTAGTCGAGGAATTTTGTATCTGTTTGTTAACAACATATTAATATTGTACACAAGGCGCGCTGGGTAGGCGGGGGAGAGAGAGAGAGAGAGAGAGAGAGAGAGAGAGAGAGAGAGAGAGAGAGAGAGAGAT